GGTCCTGGATTCTGGTTCCAAGGTCGGGTCACTAGTCGGTCATACCGCAGGAACGCGATGTCTCCCCTCGCCCTGGCCTCCCTTAACCTCGGCATCAACTCCCTTCTTCTCTTCCTCACAGACTCGGTGTAATCTTCATTTATATAAATATTAGATCCTTTAAGCTTCTTTGCTTGTTGCAGTATGTGTGCCTTATCTTTCTCTTTCATCAACTTTACCATCACCGCCCTCGGCCCCCGCTCAGAAGGTTTCCCGACTCTGTGAGCTCGCTCCATCTCAATTTCTTGATGAATTTGCAGTTTCTTCTTTAATATTTCCTTCACCTTACATTCCGCATCCGTCCAGCTTTCTCCAGCTGACTCCTTGATTCCCTCGAAGATCAGGTTTTTTCGCTTGGACTGTACTTCCAAATGCTCCATTTTATCCGTTATGGCTATTAGACTCTCACAAGTTTTGTAGACATCATCCCTTGTTTCCTTGGTTTGTATTTTCTTATCACCCATGGCTGCTTTAATCACATCCACATATCGTTGGGTAAACTGCAAACTGGTTTTTATCTCCTGTATTTCTCTGGTGATGTCGTCGAGTCTCTTGTTATTTGTCTCCATAAGTAGTTGCACAAAACCTTTGAAGTTGTCTTGTTGTTGGCTCAACAGTGCGGTGTACATCTGCTTCTGCTGACTCAACATCTCTGTTACTTGTGCCGCTGAAATATAATCCTCTTCTGCTTCAACATCCTCGTTCGCTTCTGATTTATTAGCTCTCTTCCCCCTTGGAGGCATTTTAATAGTTGTAGAATTTGTTCAAAGACTTGAAAATGTAGAAGATGTGAAAAATCGTAGAACAGACAAGAGGAGCAGTAAAGACGTCTCTTTGTGTTCAGAGAATCAAATTAGCTGAAGAAAATTAAAAGGATCATTTTAGCTTGATAACAGCATGTAAAGTCTGGATTAGTCAAGCTGCATTTACAGAACAGAGCACAGTGGCAGATGCAGCAGTAACTATAGTATGTCTACACTGGTGGTGTTCTGAGTACCACACAGCACTTCTCCTATACCTCAATCTTCTGCGCTCCAGCGTCGACCCAGTAGAGCAATCTACTGATGGGGTCAAAAGTCAGGGCCTCCACGTTCTGCAGGTCTTTCCTCACTACAACCTCCTGGCCCGTACTGCCGTTCAGACAGAGACGCTGCAGCAGAGAAGGAAACAGTCAACACGACCACCTTGGGCTAAAGAGTAAAAACTAGGGATGTAACAATACCAAAAACACACGGTACAATACTGCCAAGATAAAAAGTTCATAAAAAAGCCCTTTACTAAATAATAAATCAGCTCTTTTGTATAATTTTCCTTTTAACTTAGTGCTCCTGCTTTTTTATTAAAATAAAAGTAGCCAAGCATGTGCAAACACTTGGCATGAAGAGTCTTTGTCAGTGAATGAACTGATGAACTGTTTTGAACTGTCTGTACAATTGCAAAACAAATAATGCAGCAGTCAGTAGCAGTGCTTTTATGAAATAAAATATTACACCAGCTGGACAAGCCACATAAAGGTGAGATTTGTGCTTTACTGGAAGTGTTTTCAAACATCATGGTCTACTTTTTTTAAAAGAGGAAAGACTTTGAGGGTGGTTACTAAGTGGTTGTTTTTGCATTTGTGCATCTGGTCTATTTGCCCATCTCCGTTAAAATGCAGCTCACAACTGTGTCCTGACAATTTTTTCGAGATGTATCCAGACCGTCCTAAATGGGGATAATATTGCTTCCAGCAGAATTTGCAAATAGTTCAGCACTGGTCAGTTTCCTTTCCACTTGTGTCATTTCTTGAAACAGGAAAACTGAATTGCTTGCCACAGAGTTGCTGTAGAAGTTGTCTGCTATGTCAGTTTTCAGATTCTGCGACCTGAACACAGTTATACTAGTGAAATAACAATAGTTAATATCCGGGTAGATACCGTTCTAGTCCCCCAATGGTATCGACAAATTTTTCTATTGTGATATTGCAGAATTACAAATATTGTTACATGTCTAGTAAAATCTGATAAGATGATTATGCTGCATAAACATCAAGCAGTTACAGTTACATTCATTTCAGAAGTAAGCAACAAGCTTGGCAGGATGATATTTTAGTATAACCATGTCTAATAAGCAAGCCGCTCTTGAATCTCTGCACTCATACTTCTGCTTCACTCTGATCTGCATCATTGAAAATTTACTGTTAGTCTGGCTGCCTCCCAGAGGAACTCCTTTTAACTTACCTGTATGGTGTCCAGTGAGATGTCAGCCCAGTAAAGGCAGTTCCTGTCATAGTCAAAGTCCAGAGCCACGGCCTCCCTGAGACCGGCCAGGGGCAGGGCCTGGTCTGTGCCTGTGGCCAGGTCGTACCGATGGATGGAGTTCCTCATGGCATACAGGATAAACTCGTTACTCTCTACAAGAATATAAATGACGTAAGAGAAGAGACACTTAATACACATTTGAACTATACTTTTAAGTTCTGCCAAAGGGTCCTCTAAAAAGTACTGAATTAAGGGTCTGAGTGCTTCTCAGATTTGAGATTCTGATTTGCAAAAATTACAAAAACATGTTATCACTTTGTCATTATGGGTTATTAAGTCTAGCTTCAAGAGCAAAAGCAGCAACTGTATCCATTTCACATTAAAGTGGCAACACAAAGTGTGGAAAAAGTGAAGACGTCCGAATTCTTTCTAAAGCCACTGTACAGTACTGTACATACTGTAGGGCCAGGGACAGCACAAAGCGCTACACTCCCAGAAATCTCCTCAGGACAACCTCCCTTGATAAAAGCAAATCAATGGGGAGCATTGATCAGCAAGATCCCAGTCCACACCCCACATTCCAGGACTGTTTTACCATGTCTGACCCTAAAGCCATTTGGGAGGTACAAAGCACAGCAAACAGCAACACTGCAACAGGATTTACCCCCAGACAGTGAGAGAACAGGCACATCTTAAGTCCAGGTCTCAATCATCATACACAACTGAACAAAGAGAATGGCATCCATAATCACAGCTAGTGAAAATTCACATCAGCAGAAAATCTCTACCATGTGCACCCTGGAACAGAATGTGCACCATGGCCTTACACACACAAACACACTCAAGACTCTGTACTGGCACCCCCACAGACACAGGTCATTCAACATGTCTGTTAAATACATTATGCAAAATCTTCACAGGCCTCATGGCAGCTTTAAGTGTGGAAGCCCAAAAGAACAGCATCCTTAAAAGTATTTAGTGTAATAAAGTTCAGGTTTACCTCCGACAGGACATGGCAGCATCTCTCCATCCAGCCTGGACTCCACATCTCCTCCATTACAGCTGTCCCCTGGTACCTTTCTGTAGCTGCAGGAGGAACAGAAAGTGTGTTCTTCAGTGGGACACTTGGTGGTGCTCTCAACAAACATCTAACGATGGCACCATACTGTACATTGCCTTCAGAAAGTATTCAGACCCCTTCACTTTTGCACCCATGTAGAGTCAAAACTTAAATCAAATTTTAACCGATTATCAAATAAATGACTTTTATTATATTTGCTTCTAACTTATAAGCACTCACCAGACACTTTATTAGGTACACCTGTACAATTGTATGCAACACTTCCGCCTTAACATCTGTGTTTATTAGACTAAAAATGTTTTTGTTTTTAGTGAAATTGTCATAAATGTACAAACACAATGTAGTCCAATACTACACCGTCTTTAACCATGACCTCAATAATAAACATATATTTGAATGTATACATTTATTACAATTTCACCAAAAATTGAAACATCTTTTTTTTTTTTACTTGTTTATTGCTACATGAAATACCATGTTTACAAGACAAAGGACATAACAGAAAACAACAAACATTTACAAAAGAGACAACAGGAAATCTAATTTACAAAAGCAAACCTACCAACCACTGCCGTGATTGATGGTACAGACATAGTCAGAGAAAAGAATTCAGACTGCACATTTTTCAGATAACAGCAGCTTACCCTTTGCTGCGGCGGTACGTGGTACCGACAGGACATGGAACCGGAGGGGCATAGAGGTCACCTACAAACTCAGGGTCAGGCACACACACCTGCAGAGACAAGTCTTCACTCAGCTTGAAGCCGTAGTCACTGGAAAGAGGACGACAAGAAGAAAACAGCCAGTTAATTTATGCCTTCTGATAAATGGAAACACCCGTGGTGCATTTCAAAACAGACTTGTTATGAGTTGTGATGGGAGGAGTCTTGGATTGCCAATAATGAGATTTTATTAAGAGTCAGACAACCAGTCAGTGCCATTTACCCCACATATGACAGGGGTCCCACCCACTTCATTTTAATTTCTAACTCAGCTCTTTGCCAAGTCATTCTGAAGTGGTGATGAAACATATGCCTCACAGACCAGTTAATAATAATTATTATAATAAATGTAATGACAATATTGTGGACAGAATTGTGTTTTTGAATAGAAATATATAAATGAAAATATGTACTGAAAAATCTTTGTACTACTGACTTGTAAAAAGCTTCAGTGAATATGAAATGGTTATACTATACATACTGTAGGTGTTTATAATTCACCAGATGCAGATGAGTTTCTCCTCTACATTGGTTTTGGGTCACAGTGTGTGTGAATTCAAATCTAAATCATGTGAGAGAAGATGAATCTGTCAGGTGGACACTTCAAGTGACAGTTCAAGGATGATCAGAGTAAACTGGACACCCCTGAGCTCTGTGTAGGATGTCAGCAAAAGATAACATCATTATGTTTTTTGTTTTTTTTTTGGGTGGGGGGGGGGTATGAATGTAGCCTTTTAGAACACTAAACCCAGCCTACTGGAAGCTTTGCTACAAAACACTGATGTTAATTTATAAAATCTACATAATGCAACCTGGGCCTCATCTACTGGCAGGTATAGAAACATGGCTATTTCTATCTCAGACATCAGTGGGATACGATAATGAAATGGCACAAATATGAGTGTTTTGTGTGGGTCCCTAACCATTCATAGTCCTGGCGTGTGCAGGAGCAGTTAGAGATGGTGATTGGCCGATCAAAGTCTTCCCCGTTAAAGCACGTCGCGTGAGGAGCTCGTCTCTTAAACGTTATCTCTCTGCCCAACAGACACTCGTTACCGTGCTCATCTGAGGGAGACCAGTGCTTGTAGTCAGCCTCAGAACATGGGACACCTGGACAAATAAGAAACATTGTCAATATCTGGCACTGACATGGAAAGAGAAGGAACTGCTAATACTCGGTGTGGCTCTCTTCTAGCCCAGAAGAGGAGTTTCAAGTGATGAAATCTGGTAACCACACTCTTGAAAAAACCTGAGAATACATGTATTTCTCTCCTTTCCAAGTGCAATTAGTACAAATTTAGCCATAATTTGCATGCAGCAATTTCTGCTATACACTTGCATCACACTACTAACATCATGTTGACCAAGCACCAGGCAACTACATATACTGTATTTATTGTAGCTTCTTTAACCTAAGTAGGTTACTGTTTTTGTGTTTCAACACTTCACAGTCTTTACTTAAGAATGTTTTTGCCTGGAAAAAAGTACAAACCTTTGCCTACCTAAGTATCAAACTGGTCAGATGAAAAGAAATTTGAAATTTGACTTTATTAACTCATTTTTGGCGAAGCAATCGGCCCTGTAAATTTTATTTGAGCTACATTTTGCCAATTTTTACATGGCAACAAAATCTACATGGTAATTTCTTTATGTTATTTCAGTGACATTATTGTAAATATGGCAGTGTTATCCAAAAAGCTAACATCCCATGGCCATACCCATGGCCATACCCTAAAATAACACTGAAATGCATAACACAGAGTATATAACATGAGTTTGCCTAATTAACCATAAAACATTAAACTGAATGTGAAAAATTTGAATTTCCTTCCATCTTTTTCATTGTTGGGTGCTACAAGATTTAAAACTACTTATAATTTCTTAAAAAACAGTTTCACTCCAATCGGTACTGAATGTAATCCATTGTTACTTTAACTGTAGTGTGTCTCAAAGACAAACATATCCAATTAAAAACAGTCATCTTTTTTAACTTACCAAACAGCTGATTTGAGGCACTATTAGCTACAGCTGCTGTATGGCTAACAAGTTATGTAGCAACAGTAGTTAATAGCCAAAAGGCTAAAAGTCAGGTATGGAAATGTGTTACTATACAGTGTAAACTAGCCGCACAGTGTTATTGCAGTATTGATATGAGCTAACCAACAATCTAATATTAACAGTATAATCATCTTTACAGTGACGAAATTAGTAGAAATTCAGTTAAATATTCTGCTGAGTTCAACAAGTAAAACTCTAGAAATAGCTGCTGTGAGCTACTTGGTCTCTAACATAAGAGCTGCCCACCCCTCTATCCTCCTTCTCACTGCCCAACCTACCCAGAACGTCAGAAGTGTTGACCTGCAGGATGAGCCAGCTGTGTCTCTGGTCGGCATAAGAGCCGAAGATGGTGAAGATGGTGCTCTTCTCCCCGGGCTCCGTCAGCAGCTGGTAAACATACACCTCCCTGTCTGAGAACGCAAAGTTGGTCCAAGTCTCACCTTCATTGGTGCTGAACCTGACAGAGATGTGGACAATTATTCAACTCATCCCTTCAGTAAATGATAATGAAGTAAGCATTTTTGACAATATTTCAATTGTTTTCATGTGGTGTTGACAGCCTGCATACTTGTTGTGTAATTGGCCAACACCAAGAAAAAAGATGTCATCTGAACAAATAATAATATGGGAATATAACAGGCATTTTATCACAGGCAGACAATAAAGATGTCATGATATACTGTATGTACAGTATTGTACAAAAGTTTTAGGCCACCATTAGATTTGTTGTTTTAGCAATGTTATGATGACTATATTTATTTATCAGAATAGAAAGTCACTTTCGGCTTTTCCTGTTTTTTAGGGGTCGCCACAGCGAATCGTCACACTGACGCAACCCTGATTCGAACCCGGGCCGCAGCGGTGAGAGTGCTGCGCCTTAACCAAGTTGGAGAAGTTGGAGACAGGTGGACGAATGAGTGTAGCAGCCTTCAGTAAAACATGGTGGAGGGTCTGTCATGGTTTCAAGACAGTCTCCCCAAAAGAATTCAAGCTGTATTAAGTACAAGCAGAAGTCACACTAAATACTAGCTTTGAACTGTAGAAGCCATTTTTGTTCTGAAAACCTTGTGCTTTTTAATTTTGTGTACATATATCTTGTATTCTCTGGTTATATATATCTTAATAAAGAGACTGAAACAGATCCGAATTATCATTACAGCCTTGCTAAAACAGTGGCCTAAGACAGAACAGTACTGTTGGAATCTAGGCAAAAAGCCGGTTACTGAGTAACCAGGATTAATGAGGTCAGCTGTTTTCACATTACCATATCACCTGCACATAAATACAGTGGAACCTCGGTTTTCGTATGCCCTACTTTTTGTACAATTCAGTTTTGAACGACTTTTTTCGTCAAACGACTTTTTTCAGTTTTCGTACAGTTGATTGGTTGGTTCAGCGTCCTTAGTCCGTACCAAACTCGTCCGCCTGCCCGCCTGACTCGGCCACTCATTTCCCGGAAGAAATAAGTGAAGGGAAGTAACCCCAGACAAGGCCTTGATACGTGAAGTCCTTATGGAGGGGGATTCCCCTTCCAAACAATAACCTCCCCTCCTCGCCGTCTTCCACAAGCCAACAAGAGTCTTCAATAAAGGTAAAAGTGATGTTAAATGTTCATTTATCGATTTCATTAGTCATATTTATTTCTCATTGTTTTCTGTATGTAAAAATATAGTTATTCTCTATAAAATGTATTTTTTGTTAATATTGTTGGGTGTCTGGAACGGATTAATTGGATTTACATTATTTCTTATGGGAAATATTGCTTCAGTTTTTGTACGATTCGGTTTTTGTCGGACTTTTTCGAATGGATTAATCACAAAAACCGAGGTTCCACTGTATACAGTAAGTAGTCTACAGTGTTGCTTTTGATGCATATATTACATCTTCTCTATAACAAGATGTGTTGCATTCACACTGTCTGCTCCTGCTGACAATTGAGCACATACACTGAGGCAGGTACCATTTATATGCTTCACTCCCCTGTTTTCCTCAAATTGTTCAGGGACAACAAGTGGAAACCTACCAGCAACAGCGAGCCCTCTGAGTTTTATGTTTGAAACCATTTTGTTTAGGTAAAACCTATTGAATGCCTCTTTTATTTCCTCCATAGGCAAACGATGTAAACAGGTCATTTGGACTTACTTGAGATGTGTGGTGGCTCCTCCTTGCGGGATAGCCATCAGGATACCACCGTGGTCACCCCATGTGTAGAAATGAGGACCTGCCAGTGCCTGGATTAGAGAAAACATGTGCACAGTGAACTATCGAAAAAATGTGTGCACATTAGGCTAAAAAATATTTAAAATATTTAAAAAGAATCCTTAATTTATCTTGAAGAGCGCATCTAAAGACATTTTAAAGAATTCACACAACAGCACCTTTACTGCTTTATTTCATGAGAAAGAAAGAGGCGGCCCAGTGCAGCGGTGTGGCTCATTGCTGTGTTTTAAAATAGTTTTTGGACAACAAAGGAACTCCATGGCACAGACGAACAAGCTAAAGCAGGTTCCAGATTCAGAAACATTATGGCGAGTACTCAAAATTCATTGCTGGAACTGGATGCTGTAGTTGTGAGTCATGCAGGATTTCACTGACAAAAACAATAAATAAATACTGTATATAACTGATAAACAGGTAAGGTTTTATGTACACTTTTCCCAGTAAATGAAAGTGTCCATTTCATTGGGTTTTTAAAGCTTTGCAAAAATGCCAACCCTTTAGATTGGGCAGATCATATTCCAGGTAGACTACAGTCCTCCCATTTGGGAGAGGCTACATGGAACCTCAGAGTTAGTAAATTCAGTCAAAACAAAGAGAGTGATTCTATGAATCCTTAAGCTTTCAAATAATTTTAAGCTGCAATAATCAGTATGTTTAATCTACATGTGCCACACCACACAGACAAAGGCAGCGACAAGCTGACGAACATAGTAGCAGTTAAAGACCCAGATATTATTCTCAGGGGTTGGTGAATTTACATTATTCATTCTTCTCCAATGCACCATAACAACTTTATGAGGCCATAATGTGTCAGGTGTGTTTAGAGCTTCTTCCACTCCCCCAGCACGGCAAAAAAATCAATTAATGCAGCCCCTAAAGAATATGTAAAACATCTTTCAAATACAGGTTAACAATCATACAAATAGGGTATTGTAGTGCTTGTTTATATCTAACTGCCTGCTTCTAATGATTAATGATGCAACAACAAAACAGGAAATGGCAAAAATGCAGGTGATCAACTATGTTTTTTCACATTTGTAGGCACTAAATTAAATTCATGGCAACATTTCAAAAACAGCCTGCTTGTGACCTGTCCATTTTACAAGCCGTGTCATCTGTGTGAGACTTTGTACTGACCTCTCTCCACCGGGCTCCAGCACTGCTGGACACGTACACGTTTGGTTTGTTGGCCAAGCTCTTTCCTACAGATCCTGCAATCAGAGGACAAAAGGGTTTTTTACACATTATTCACATTTTTCCTGAATATTACAAACTTAGGGTGGAAAATTTGTAACCAAACAACTGAAACCATGCAGTAGTGCTCTGTATTGTTTCATGTCTGTGGCCTTTGTATGTGCTGACAAATCCCAGCAACAGTATGCTGGTATTTTATAAGGAAGATCACCATGAAGGATCTGCTCAGGTGATTCACAAAGAAACATACTGAAAATTCACAAAGAAACATACTGAAATCACAACGGGACTTCCTCTTTATTTCATGTTCACAGAAAATTTAGACTAGGTGGGATATTTACTAAATCTATCGCAAATTACTGTCAGCTGCACAAAATATTGCATCAAAGCAAAATTTTCAAGTTTAGTGGTATGCTTACTAACACTAATGATGGTGGTGTTCTTTTGAATGCTTGTAAGGACCTTCTGCCTGGATTGTGCAAATGTGGACTCAGATGGAGCATAGAATTCAGTTTAAGTTAGAAATGGGACAATATATCGTGATGCAAAAACATCACAATATTGTATTTTGTCTAGCGATATATATCACGTGGCCTCCACACACCAGCAATTTATATTTTTTGTAAATCAGAAAATCTAACAGAATGTAAGTCAGTATAGCTGGTTGTTCTTTACATAATCAAACCAGTGCTAGAAAGGGGGAACAAAGATGAATAAATTACAAGTATTGTTGTCACTGAAATTTTAACTCTATCGTGACTGATTCAAATAGTACACACCATATCATGCATCAAATCATAGAGAAGAAGTCACACTATCCCATCCCTAGCGTAAGTCACTACTACTGAACTTTAATATTTATTGAAGAGACTGAACTGACTACAGTCCTCCCATTTGAACTGCAATCACAGAGTCTTCCGCCAGCCAGCAAATTAGGCATGGTACAACCTTAAAGCCTGTAGGAGTCCTTCATGTTCTCCTCTGGCAAAAGATAGGATTAACCAACACCGTCTCCTTCTTCAGATGTCTTCTTAATGCTGGCAAGGTTTCAAATGAATAACAGCTGTGATGTTAACAGCAGGGCTACAAATTTTACAACTGTGTTCTCCTGACATTAAATATCAGCCGCAGTTCCCTCTGCTGCAGCGGTGGTAAATCAAATGCTCAGGGTATTTGTATTCTCGCCTCCCATATTTTACACACCTGAACAGGAACACCTTAAAAAACATACTGCATGAGACCAACCATGCAACTGCCAACAATGCTGCTTTTTTGATTCAGGACCTCAATTACAACTTCTTAAAAAATAAAAACACATGCAATTTCACTCTTGTAGCTGTTGATCTGTTTTAAAATTTTCACCAAAGTCAGTAGCATTCAGCCTCTGGGGACCACAAATGGATGTATATAATTTCATTATAATTTTACAGTTAAAATGCTGTTTGTAGCACTATGTATGAGAAAGGCTTTTGTTTCAAATGAGTCAGAACATTCTCACCATAAACTTCCAATTATGTTCTTTAAAATAAATAAGAAAACTGTGGAAACATGCTAGAAATATCACAAGAAATAAGACGTCTCCTCAACCGTCTGTACCGACGACGTTTATAGCACAATCTGTATGGCAGTAGTTGGATGTCAAACTTTGTGCCGTATTATCATTCACGCTGCACCTAGCTGTGCCCTGTATTCGCCAACACTGGTAGTCACCAAAACTGTGAAATTTGTTGGACTCACTGACCTGCACCACTTTACAGAGTTCAGGCTTGGTAAATATAGCCGTTTGTCTTAGTATATTTCTAGGATGATTTAAACATGCACATAACAAAAAGCAAAAAAAGAAACAACTACAGGGAGAGTTTGTAGATGAGACGCTGAAAATAGAAAGTTTGGAAGTGATGCAGGTTTAGCCAGATAAAGTAGGAAGAGGCGGAGTGGGTGGAGAAAAAAAAAAATCAGTCCTGTATCAAATCTCATTTCAGGGTGAACGGCTTCACAATGTGCAGATTAAAAGCAGACAAACATGGTTGTTGAGTCTTAGTCAAAGGTTTTAACAACAGTTGTTACACGTAGTCTCTGTGTAAGACAAGATACAGACTCAAATAGTAACACAAGAACCCAGGGACATGAGACAACAAGAAATGTCTGCCATTGCCCAGATGTGAAATTGGCAAGCACAAACAGACTGTCACAATTTGTGCATGTTTTTAGGGCTTACTAGTGTATCAGTCTCACAGATACTGATATGTTTAGACTGCAACTTCTGATAGTAATGCAATATTATAATGGAACCTTGTCCTGACAAATGCTTACAGTGGTGCAACTACATTTTATACTGTATGTATATATTCAATTCTTTTAAGGGCATCTGAAAAAAAAATCCATCCAATTCCACCACTTTGGACCTTGGAACACCTAATGAGTATGGCTGTATATTGACACAAAATGTTTTGACACTGGTGCCAATATGTTACTTAAGTTTTTGAAATACCTTTTTTTCAGCAGTTTATTTTGGGATGGACATAAATGTGCACATTGTGTATATTTTACTTCTAATGACATACAAAATCCTAGACATACCTCTACATATCTGAGCACTATTTCAGGAGACACTCCTATTGGCTGGGTAGAGGGTAGGAACAAAAAGCCTATATGGGTCATTTAGGTCTGAGGTCTTGCTGCAACTCCTGCATGCAAATGTCAAGAAAGTAAAAGTCAAAGGAGGCTGGCTCTGAAAACAGGACAAGGATCCAAAACATCCCTGAAAATCTAGCTTGAACTACTTCAAGAATCGCAAGCATCGCGGAGCTTGAAGTGATCTGCAAGGGATAATGGGTAAAAAAAAAATCCTAAATCAAGAATATCAATACTCTGAGCTAGTTACAAAAAGTGTCTGCAGGCTGTGATGTCTGCTGGGGGAAGGGGGACTTACCTTTTATTTTGTGAATATCAGTAACAGTGTGCAAAAATGTAATTAAAGGGTCACCGTTAATGTTTGTCTGCCGCAGAGGTTTTATTTACTTCTTTTCAATTAAGTGAGATGACACTGACTCAGACAGCCTTTTATACTAGGGCAGATCATTCCAGAGCCTTGAGGCTCTGATGGCAAAGGCTCTGTCCCCCTTAGTTCGCAGCTGAGACAGTGGAACAGCTAAAAGACCTCTGCCTGAGGATCTGAAACTGCGCAAATGTTTATATTAGTTAAAAAGTCTCAGATGTTGGCTGCAGTCAGGCCATGAAGAGCCAATATGAAGAGGCTAAAACATAATCATAATATCCTATGGATATACTGTATATTTCATTTAACTTTAATAATACATTCAAACTGATTTAAGAGTTAAACACAGAGGAGTTCATGAGCAGTTTTAGGTTGGTGTGTATATAATCATGTCTGTATAGTCTGTGCATGTGTGCCTGCCAGTATTCATGAGCGTGTTTAACCCGTGGAGTGTGCACTGGGTGCTGCAACAGTAATTAGCCCATCTGTCTCAGAGTGATAATGGAGTGAATTGCACTACTGATTGCCAGTCGTCCCTCCTCCCTTCTCTCTTGCTCCCTCTCCATGCCCATTATCTAATGACTTTAATTAGAGAGACTGGCTGGGTGTATGGGAAACAGTCTCCTAGACACTGGAGAGTATCAACAAATCACTGCTTTCCACCAGCTGTGAAGAGGCAAAGAGATTTCAGACAGCAGGCAGGAGCACTGCTTCAGCAGCAGAGCAGAGAAAAAGATGAATCCACCTGTCTGTAACATGCTGAAACATGACTTATTCGCTTACACTTTTCTGCATATTTGAGAGGAACGCTACACAAGTTCCTATTACCTTGTTCACAGGATGCAACCAAATTTCCTGTGTTATAAGTAATGCAGGAAGAGGACATTTACTAACAGTGATGACTCAACCACTAAAGAAGACTGACTTGTGGGTTTGTATTGCTTATTTCCTGTTTATGACAAACTTGTCTTATATAAGCATTATAAGAATGGAAATAAACTGCTTCAGGACAGGTTGAAAATACAACTGTGGGTTAAACGTAAGAGCACACTGAGACCTAAACCACTGCCATTCTGCTAATTTCTGTGGTTCAAAAATGCTTTGATGGAAATTCAAATGTGGTAAAATTTGGCACTCATATCAAGTGAATCTTGATGTGAACTGTACAGACTCCATCAGTCCACCTGAACTTTTCAGCATCCTGGGTTTTCTTAAAATATTCTCTCATCATGATACTGTGCATACTGTCCCACCTGTTGCCAAGATGACTCCTGGTGCAGAGTCCTTGGATAAAATTGGCATCCTCCTCAGCTGGATGTTGAACAGCTGGCTCCAGCGCTGAGCCAGGTGGAGAGAGCAACCTTTACTGAGCTGAAGGGGAAGGGAGGAGAGTCAGATGATGCAACTGGTTGTTTGTTTCAGGACTAATTTCTACTTTTCCACTAAAATACATCATAAAAATGTTCTCTTCCCAACCTTCCTATTCTATGTGCTTATACTTCCACCTAGAAGTACAACTTTAGGTACAAGATTTAAAAGAGTTATGTCAAAACTGGCTGCTACAGTATAAACTGAAACAACTAAGGAAAATGCTAGTTGCATTACTGTCTTGGTAACTGCTCTACTGAGTGGAGCTGTATAACTGATGTTGCTCTAAGCAGGGAGCTAGCAAACAGTAGGCTAGTTTACTCAGTAACAAAATCCCAAATGCATGTTGCAAACCAGAATTTTCAGGTTTATAGTTTTGTACTGGCAGGTAGCAAATGTTAGCTTAGCAATACCCTGCCAATTTTTTTTTTTTTGCATGCACCAGTGTCATTATCTTGTTGTATTTATATTTTGTTTAATGATGTAAATGGGTAGCTACAGTATATCACAGAAGTGAGTACACCCCCTCACATTTTGTAAATATTTAAGTATATCTTTTCATGTGACAACACTGAAGAAATGACACTTGGCTACAATGTAAAGTAGTGAGTCTACAGCTTGTATAACAGTGTAAATGTGCTGTCCCCTCAAAATAACGCAGCACACAGCCATTAATGTCTAAACTGCTGGCAACAAAAGTGAGTACATGCCTAAGTGATAATGGCCAAATGGGGCCCAAGTAGCCGTTTTCCCTCCCTGGTGTCATGTGACTCGTTAGTAGTACAAGGTCTCAGGTGTGAAGGAGGAGCAGGTGTGTTAAATTTAGTGTTATCACTCTCACTCTCTCATACTAGTCACTGGAAGTTCAACATGGCACCTCATG